GGCGGCCAGTCTTAATTTGTTTAGCTAGAAGCATTTGTCGGAAAAACCGGTGCCGGTAGCGACAAAAACTGCGGGGAACTAAGCAAAAAACGCATCTTTGCACGGGCAGCTCATGCGTTGGCCATTTCATTGCTGCATTGAATCAGGAACTTTTTCTGTGGATAATTTCAGGAGGTTGCACACGGAGCAGCATTATTAGTAGCAGGCATGCCAAAACCACATCTTTGTGAAATAAACAATGACGATAAGTGAATGGGATCATTATCAGTACTTCCGGTGATTCGTGATATGATTTCTTGAATCATTCCTAAATCATTGTACAATGGGAAGACTGTCCGAACATACACATAAACTGATTCAATGATTCTCAAATGAGGGAGAAACTCCTCACAACGGGAGACTGTCTCAGATTGGAGGTGCCGAATCTAACTTGGGAACAATGTGCCAAAAGGCGGAAGGATTACTTATATGCTCCAATAACCACAGATCAAAGAGTTGCGTCACTCGAAAAAAGGATAGGCTGTCCAAAGATTAGTCCAAGTGCAATTTGGGAAATGAGGACAGAAGGGGATAATAAATTATTGACAAAACACTTGGTTTATGAAATACCAAGTGAAAGTAATTCACTGCCACAATTTTACAATACTGTAGTATATTTAATGTGAGGCCAGCAATATCAAGACTTGCATTTCCACCCATAGGCACACGCTTTCCCCTGCTACTCTAACACTAAACTCGCATTTCTTTGTCTCTCTCACACTTGCACTCCTTTGTCCCTCCGCGTAACCAGAGACTCAATTTTGGACTGATACTACAACTCGAGAAGCAGGCAAACACAAACAGGAGATACTAATTCAAAAGCACTTAGAACGAAGTCTCAGTCGGCAGCAACTTGCAATACAAGTCCGCTAGAAAAGCCGATGTGCTGGTGAGGCGTGACTACTCCGACTAACAGGAATGAAACAAGTGCTTGTTTGAAAACCACACTGTGTGAGCAGTTCCTGTATCAGGCAGCATGTCGTCTTCCGGTTCTGGCCTGCGGCAGGGCATCCCGGAGGGGCACTGCTCGCCAGAACGCTCTCGCGCTGCTGCACAGAACTGGCCTAAGCCGAGCAGGCATGTACTGTACTGGACTGCACCGTGTCGGCTGGCATGTATAAATACTGCGCGCGGAGGCATCTTGGTCAGTCGCGTGTGCACAATGGGCGGTGAGCGTCGGCGGCGAACCAAATGCGCGAAGTTTTTCTCTGCATCTCGGTCTGTGCCCACTTCTTCCTCAACCGCATACTTTCATGGAAATATCGCCAACAGCACTAGCACTGGCACGCTCCCAGCCGGAGCGCAGGTACTCTGTTCTCGCGTGAGGAGCACCTCGGACGTGGAAAATTTTTTTCTGTTTTCTTCGCAGAGCAGCAGTCAACTGGGAAACTAAAATTCGCTAGCCCCTGTGCCTGCCCTGCCTCAGATATTCTTTCGTCAGGTCGCTGCCAGCGAAGCGCACCAACGGAACCTGAGGGAGCGAGCGGCCGGCCTGCTCCCCGTAAAACTCATGACCCTACTCCAAAGCAGCGCATACAGCGAGGAATTACAAGTACGTGGGGGGTTAATCTAATCACACTTTCTGGGCTCCTCTGTTTCTGGGTGGCATCCCCCTGAACAGGATTTGGTGGTGCAGTTTTCGTTGGGTTTCACGATGGGGGGGGGAGGGGGTTACTTTGTTGCGAGGCTAGTGTCCTCCGCACGCTTCCTTCCTTTGCCTCCCAACGCACTTCGAAGCTGCACGCCCCTTGCCGCCTCTCAACGGACAGCGTCCCTCTCCTCTTTTAGAACGACATCCTTTTCGTAAGTTTGTTTAAATAGGGTATTTGTGGGGAGGAGCGAGCGGGGTCAGCGCGCATTCCGATGCGTCCGAAGTCGTCGCGGTACTCTCTGCATTAATTCTGCACGGTATCTCTCGCCGACTAGCCGTACCCAGTCAAATTCACACGCTTGGATACGTGTTCCGCTGTGCCGTTCCTTCCTTTCCTCTGCTGACGATTGTGGCGCCAACGCTCTGGGTGCTCCGTTGGCGGACAGCGTTTCCTGCATGGGACGCCGATGCAAGATGTAATCTAAGAAGAATTCAGGATGAAAATACATGTGAAGAAAGTTTTAATTGCGATCTTGCTGGGACTCACATTCCACGTGTTGTACTCTGCCAGAAGCCGGCCCTGGATGCTCACAAATCGATGTAATATGACTTATATGTACCGATTTATGAGTTTCATCGTAAGTAATTGACAAATTATTTCCTCTACGTCATCATCCAAAATCCGTACCGCACTTCTGGCAAGGACCGGCGGGGAAGA